GCCAATCGTTTGAAATGAACAGGCACCCTCCCCCTCCTCAATCATTTCACAGGGGCGAACTAAAGTCAAGTTCAGCAGGGGCTCATTCCCCTACGTGCGCCCGTATCGGGCATAGAAAGTATGCCTGATTCGGGTGCAGTGGGCTAAAGCCGAATTCGAAGGATCAACCACACGCCCCCCCCCCCCCCCCCCCCCTTCTGTGTGTGTGTGTGTGTGTGTGTGTGCCCCGACAGTCACAACTGTTGTTAGCGGTCAGTGAGCTGTCGTGAAGGCCCTATGAGAGAGAGAGACTAGAGGCCCAAACGGCGTCACAAAAATGTTCGTTCGACCACCAGAAAACGATTCGCCCGTTCCTCGCAAACGTGTGCAGAGAGTCCCTCGTGACTCAAGTACAAGGTCCCAAAACCACGCTCGGAACGTAGACGCGTTCCGCGGCAGATTCATCCGATTTTGCTCAACCACAATAGCAACCCGCTCGTAAAAACGAACGGGTGCCTAAGTGAGATAATAAACAAATAAGACAAAAAAACGAAATCTAAAGAATCTAAAAAGAAAAAAGGAAATAAAACTAAAGAGAATCTAACACAATCTAAAAGAAGAAATCTAATGAATATCTAAGAAAAAGAAAAGAAAGAAAAACAACCAGAAAAAAAACAAAATGGAACACTTACCTTGCTGCCAAAAATGGTCACGCGTTTTCACGGGCGCCGTCAAGTGCACTAGGGTCTTCAATGCCCCAGTCACTTCAGAGGACGCCATGTGGCGTTTCGTCTGTAGTTAGCTTTTAGGTTTTTTTTTTTTTTTTCCTAGCTACTTTCTCGTTGGCCTATCCCAACAGTCGCGTCCCACGGACTGCAGAAATGCAAATCTGAGTTCGAGTCCTGATGGACTCGAACTGATTTGGGCCCTTCCTCGATTTATGCGTGTCATCCTTGCGCAAGAGCCATGCTAATCTGCGCGGCCGATCTCGGCCGCGCGATCTTCATGATTGATGGTCGGAATCGACCGAACCGACAACGTCCAAGGTGGCCAGCTCCAAAAGGAGCTAGCCTAGTGGCGCAGTATCTCATACTCGATCCCAGCGTCTGTCGGGTGGAAGTCGTGGACTGTAACCTACTGGGCTAGCTCCTATCACGGGAGTTGCTGCAGCCCTTCTATTTGAAGGGTTGCGGCCCAGTAGGCTGTCTGTTTCAGGCCTAGGCAGGCTCGATCCTGCCTCCCCCGTTCAACGCCGGCATCCCACCACCTAACTGGCTGGATCCCAACTCGGCAGCCCGATAAGCTATCGTTTTTGCCACGTATCCGGCTTCGGGCTCCGACGCGGAGTTAAATCTCACCGACAATAAAATAGGTAACCCTTCTCGCCTGCGTCGTGGTCCTATACCCGGCGCATCCATTCTTTTTAGCTCTATTAGGCTCTGAATCACGCGACTGCTAGGTAGGATAGACCTAGCTTTAGTGATCCCACATCCGCATACCTCTGCGGTCTCGACAAAAACGAAACACTGCCAGTTACTGTTGTTACTTTCGGATGCTACAAGCGTTCGGACTAAAGTTCAAAAACTTGTAATCCCTCATTCATAGGTTCAGTCTGAATGAACTTTTGACAAATGTCAGTCTCATCATGTCCTTCAATTCAATGAAAGAGTCAGACAACGTCCGAAGTTTAAAATCCCCGGCAAATACCCTTGTCTTTGCCCCGACAACGAGAGGGTATGGGTACCCCTTTCGAAGGGGGACTTGGGTATGGGCAAGCACAAACAAAGGTGGTGGTTGTTAGGGCGGGCGCAATTGCCCTTTTTGGAGACCATGGGGTGGGTAGGGGCAGGTAGGGGTAGGGGTAAAAAAAAACAAAAAACGGTATGAGCGGCCAAAAAAAAAAATAGACGGGTATGGGCAGGTACAGGTGGCCAAAAATAAAAAGGGGTGGGTACGGGCTTGTAGAGGTTCCCATCGGGTAACCGTGGTACACCCGATGTGAGTCTTGTAGCTTTGCAGACTTTGTATTTTTGCTCAAGCGTGACGCTTTTTCCATATTCCAAATTTCTCGCTTTCCCATGAAGCTAACGTTTTTTACCGCAAGGGTGAATTTTATATCTCTTCATTTTTTTATTTTTTGTTTTTGAAATTTCCAGACTATTTTCATATGTGTGTAACCCTGTGTATGTAATATTTATATGTATGTGTGTGTGTGTGTGTGTGTGTGTGTGTACATGTGTGGTACAGACCGAGGGTTGTTGCATTTGCAGATGCTGTACAGGTTGCATAGGCTGTTGTAGCACCAGATGCATCTGTAGCAGCATCAGAGTGACCAGATGTAACAATTGTTGCTGTTGCGGCAGTAGCTGCACCAGCTGCCACATCTCGAAAACAATAAAATAATATAATAATATTTATAATAATAAAAAATTACCACGTCAATCCTGTGACGTCCAAGGGGTTGGGGACAGTTAGGGGCGGTTAAGGACAACTAGGGGCGGTTAGGGGCCGTTAAAAAAAAAGAAGGTAAGGGGCGGTTAGAGACAGTTGGGGATAGTTAGGGGTGATTAGGGATAATTAGGGGCGATTAGGGACAGTTAGGGGCGATTATGGGCGGTTAGGGGAGGGTGCGTGACGAGCACGAGTGGTTACGGAAGGGTGCATTCAATTATGGGTACGTACGGGTGGGTACAGGTAAAAAAAATGTGGGTACGATAGGGTTTGGGTGGTTAACAAATGGTTTCGGTTCAGGTGGCCATGGGTGGTTTTGAAAAAAATTGTTCATGGGTAAGGATGACCAGTTACATGCTTAAGAGATTCAGGTAGGGTAGGTCTGGGTATACTTTTGTGTTTTTTAGCAGGTGGAGATGGGTAAAGGGTCGGAAGGCCAGGTATACAGTGGGTATGGGTGGTTGGCTTTCAAAGAGGGTGTGGTTAGGTCAGGTACAGGTATTCCTAAAAATACCGGTTGCGAACTTTGCACCAGATGGAATTGGAGAGGCATGCACCATGCGCTTTCTCTCCTCTGATTGTGAAAATGTCTGAAAAGACAAAATTGAAGAGCGTAATGATGTGGAAAGCCTGGAGGACTGTGACAGCGATTTCATATAGCGTGCTGGCGGGGCCTAGAATTTCTGCGGAATCGCTAGCGACCTCGGTGGCAGACCTTTTGAGATCTGGCATTCTGAATGAGGATAGCGACTTGGAATCACGGGCCTTCGTTGTAGATCTGGATAGATACTATAGAGATTATGGGTTTGGGGAGGACATGAACGACTGGTACAAAGAGGAAGATGTCATGAGGCCGGACCTGCCCCTGGGACACGAAGGCAGTGGTACCGAGGGGGAATATAAGTTAGATGACTCGTTAGCCAAGGCACAAGAGGACCCGTCGGGGGACACTTCAGAAGCAGTGGATGCAAGCGACCAGACCACTACCTAGGGTGATATTTACCATGTCCCAAGCCACATCTCCCTCCCATTCCCTCTACGATGAATGTCTTTAGACAGCGGGCAAAAGCAAAGGAAGGTAAGGTGGATTGTAAGACACAAGGAATAATCATTAGAAGTTGGGATATCAACGATTTGGGGAACATTATGAATAGCGAAGACGTTGAAGAGAAAATGAACAACATAATCAAAGGAATCACGGACTGCACAAACAAACATGCAAACATCATAACGCTGCAAGAGACTCACCTCACCTTTTCAATAAAACATAACAGAATCGGGGGGAGTTAAGGAAGGAGTTCAAGGAAGAAGCCCGATCCTCATATAACTCCTCCAACATAAAAGGAACTGCCATCCTCATACCCAAATCATCCCGCTTTTACAAGGCAGGGTCTGTAATGGGCATGGAGGCAGACACAAAAGGGGGAAGATGGTGCTTCATGGACCTTAAATGGAAGGACGAAGATTTCAGAATTATCAATGTCTACGCACCTAACAACTCGACAAAAAGAGTGGTTTTTATAATGGACATAGATAGACTGCTCACACCATTGACATCATGTATTCTGGCAGGGGAATGCAACTCTAGATCCATCCGTGGATCGTATATCCAGATCATCGGCAGACCAATCCTCACAGGAGACGATTCCCATTCAAAAATTGATGGTCGATCACAATCTGGTGGAACCTTTCCGCACCCTGCATCCGTGGAAGAGGGCCTATACTTTGGTAAAAAGGAATCATTCCCAACATACTGCTCTCTCTTTCATTGACTATTTCTTGCTCTCAGAAACTATGATGGGATTAGCCAAAAGTGTGGAGATCATGCCTCTCGTACCTTACCCGGGTCTGTGAAATCACACTTCTGATTATTCAACTTGTCATGTATGCAAACAGCGAAACAGCAACTGGCGACATGCGCCCACACAATACTCAAGATATCG